TTTAGGGTTTACGGGTTAGGGTTTAAGGGTTTAAGGGTTTAAGGGTTTGACGAGGGTGTGTGTAAGGTTTGTATATGCAAATTACAAGGATATTCTGCTGCCACAATTGGGTGTAAAAGGTAGGAGTCATATACAAACCCCCTTAGTGAAGGGGTTCCACATTATTGCTCTTGTTCCCTCTACATCAACACTTCTGTTGTTTGGCGATTCTAGTAATGGTTTTGGAACTCTTCTGGTTACCCTTTACACTGTTGAATTGTAGAACGCTTTCTGATTGCTACAGGGTCGCCAACGAGCCACTTTTTTTAGAGGCCCTCACATGGCCAGTTAGGAAGCAAGGCTTCCGAACGGTCACAGACGCATGGATAACAGGGCTTGGAGAAGCTGTATGAAAAAACCTGCATGACCCGAAGTACCTTATACCTCGGGAATTATGGCACTCTAGTATGTTAAGGTCATGCACGGTTTCAGTATCAACAGTAGTACCCACATGCCCTCCCCCACTCCCCCTGACACATCAGCAAGGACAAGGCCCCATATCTGGGCAAGACGGGAACTTACCTTTACAGCCGGCACGTCACCCTCTAAGTGAGATGTGGGGTGGGGCTTGGTGAGGGGTGGGTGTTGTTGTTCCCAATCTTGAAGGAGAGCCTTCAAGAGTAAGACCCGCTGAGGAATGCGGTTCAGAAAACCCTAAACCCTACACCCTAAAGCCTGAACCTGAACTTGGTGTCTTCTAGTAGCCTTACCTTGGGATGCCCTCGCGCAAATCCTGCCATATTGAAGTAGCTCGCCTGCTTTGCCAACATGATTCTATCATGTAAGGGTTTAGGGTTTAGGGCATAGGGTTTAGGGGTTACGGTTTAGGGCTTAGGGTTCAGGGCTTAGTCTTAGGGTTTAGGGCTTAGGGTTCAGGGCTTAGGTTCCATCACATCCTGTCCGTACGTCATGTTAGCAGTATGTACAAATTCTAAATGTCCTTGAAAACACTTGACAAGACAGCCGCCTTGAAGGAATTATGGGGCTTCTCAAAAAAGGGGGACCTAAGGGACCCTTGGAATATGTGGGATGGGGATGATAGGAATCCCCATGGAAGACTATGTGAGCCAAAGCCTACACTCCTAGTATCCCTCGTCTTAACCCCTAGAACGCTCCCTAGATAACCCCCTTCACGGAGCTTAGACTATGGCTCATGTGAGGCTTAGGGCTTAGGGCTACGGGCGGAAGTCCTAAGCCTCCTTGAACCCCATGACTGGGTTGCTGTTAAGGGACTTGAACTAAGTTACCATAATGGGTATACATATATATATATAGTAAATAATAGGGTTTCCCCAATATAGTAACTTAATTTAAGCTCGTTCCTTAACAGCAACCCAGATGAGGCATAGCGATTGCCTTCCTCTATGCATTGGCCACCGTTCAGCAGCTCGACTTGCTGGAGGGGTTGGTTCATCCCTAAACCCTAAGCCTTAAACCCTAAACCCTGGGATCCTAAACCCTAAACCCTAGGATCCTATACCACCCTCACCTCATAAGCCCCCCAACCTGCAACTACAGCTTCAATATGCCCAAGATAGCCCTAATTTGGGCCTTGTGGTTCGAAGATGGGGCCCGTTAAGGTGGGGGTGCTGTAGGATCCGATGCCCAAACTCCCTAAAGGAGCCGAAAAATGGAACCCTCCAAAAATGATCTCATGACTCACTTGGAGAACCTAGGGGACTATGGGGAGGTTCTGCTATTGGCGTGGGTGATTGATGTCGGTTTGATGTCGGATTGGTGTCTTTTCGGCTTTGGGTTTTGAGGGTTCCGGGAGCAATGCGCCGAGACTTGTCTGGGTTGCTGTTAAGGAACTTGCTTAAATTGAGTTAGCAAAATGCATATATATGGTAAGTCTCAGAGTTCCCCCAATATAGTAACTTAGATTAAGTTCCTCAACGGCAACCCAGCTGTTTTTGGACTTGTGGTTCTGAGGTTGCCCGTCACGGTGTGGGGGTTTCCATCAACAAAGGGCCGCAATAAAGATTCCAATATATATATATATGCTTGCCACTCTTATTATGGCTATCCCCCTAAAAAAAGTGATCCATAATTTTAAAACCCTAATGCGTATACCCCAGTGACGTAATTCCAGTTTCCATTTCGTGTTCCATGTTCGTTCGCGTCTGATTCTTCGGTGTTTTGTTGGATTCTCCTATGTTGTCCTGCCTTTGAAAGTCTGCCCTGCCTGCTGCATACATTCGGGCATCTACTCTATTGGCCATTTCGGGGTCAGGTATTTTTCACAACTGCCAAATCCCAATTCCTATACTCCAGCGAAAGTCTCATCAGACCGTCTGCCTGGCTGGAAATCCACAAAAGAGGGAATTCAAAGGTGTATAGTCTATATAGTCCCCCTTAAGTAGATAGAATATGGGGTAGATGGGGATCTTATTATAATACACTCAAAGCCGTATTCTATCTACTTAAGGGAGACTATACCCGGAGGGTTCCTGGCAGGGTACCTTTGTTGATGACTCTTCAGCAAGGCGAAAAGTTATTGCGTTTAGGGTTTAGGGTTTGGGCCACCAAAAATTAAGGCTTCACAGGGAATAATGATGGGGATTAGGGTGTATCAGGCCTTTCTAGTTCGGAGGGGTGCATTGCTGGGGCTGCCATAGTAGTCCTGTCAAAAAAAACTCGCATAAAGCTCGACTTACTAGTGTTTTAGAGGGAGTGGCCGGGTGAATAGGGGATAATGTGGAGTAACTTTTCATTGGTGTTTGGTGTGTGTATGTAGGGTGCCCTAGGAATAAGATTGGTGAGTGTGTGCTATGTATACATAAGAAATGGATATGTATATATCTGTAGCTTAAGAGTCCATTTGGGGGGACAACATTTCTTGTTCCAAAGAATTGGTTGCATAGGGGTGCGATACGGATCCATCCCCCCGTTTCCCTCAAACACCCGCAAGTCAAGAAAAGGCTGCTGACCTATATCTGGGACCTGCTGTTCATCCCGGTGAAGCCCCTGAAAAAGCTGGGATCTTCTTAGGTGGAGTCTTTTTCGCACATATCTCGAATTTTGATTCGCCCCAAGGACCAAGAACACCTAAGCCTTATGCCCGGCTCGCATAAGCTTCACACCTCCTCGATTTCTATTGTCAGTCTCAGAAGGTCTGGGAGTCAGGGTTTAGAGTTTAGGGGGGCTTTAGATTAGGGCCATTGGGGGAGATGATTGGAAGGTCTAAAGTCTATAGAAAGGCACGGACCCTTTGATTTATCTACCAAGCTCGCGCAGTTTAGGGTTTAGGGTTCTTATCTTTCTTAGGTCGTTGTCACACGCGGGAACCTTATAGGAGGGGCTCTCAGAATAGGGATACCCTAGAAACGCCATGGGTATATGAGGTTAAACGGAGATTGTGAGAGCTTCCCCTTCAGGGACAGCCTACAGGTCATTTTGAGATAGCTCATTTTGAGAAGGTCCTATCTAAGAAGTCCCTATATAAAGCCCTAAACCCTCAACGATGGGGTTCGTTGAGTGTACGGAGGGTTCCTTGTGAACAATGGTACGTGTATGTATATATATATACACACACATGTAATGTGATGGATAAGTGGGCCATAGCATAGACAGACTTCATAAGTGATATTGTTTCGGGTCTAGGGTTTAGAGGGCATCATGCACCACCTAGGGCCCCTGAACTACAGCAGCTTCTGGCATTTCAAGGCCTTCGGGTGATGCAAGATGGCATCCATCAGCAGTACTTGCCACTTTGAGCATACGACCCCACGCTTGAGAGCACCAACAAATGTAAGGGTTCCCTTAGCATTTTTGGGTGGATACCCTAAACCCGAAACCCTAAACCCTAAACCCTAGACCACCTTTGGGGGTTTGTTATGAGGGGCGTTAGACGGATTTTGCTCCTAATTCCCTCCTGGCGAAAGAGATGATGTAAGCAGACATGCTGGCATGACCACCAGCTGTCAGTTCGTCTTGTGTTTGGGGGATTAGGCTGTAGCATGTAGGGTCTGAAACGTAAGGTTTGGAACTTGGGTTCAGGGTTTACGAAGTAGGGTTTTCGAGTACAGAGTTCAAGGTTCAGGTGTTGGCGCTTAACACCCTAAACTCCAAGCCCTAAACCTCAAACCCTTAACCCTAAACCGCGATGTACGCTCCGGTATGGACCCAACAGTTGGGTAAGGGCCCTCTCGTAACTACTTATAACTGAGTTCCTCCAAAGCGGCTTATAGTAAGAGGGATGTGTAGGGTTTGAGGTTTAGGTCTATGGGGCTTAGTTGCTGTTTATAACTTGAGATATCGCCCTACCTATGAGTGGGCGAACCTATGTAAGCCCAATTTGTCGAATTGTAGCCAGGGTTATAGGCTCTATGGCAGTTACCAAGCACCATGAACCTTCAAATTGGGGTATTCCCTAGAGGCCTGAAAGCGTATATTCGTAGCTTGTGAGCTTCTACAGAAGCAGGTGCTTTAGAGACCGTAGCGTTTATATTGGCATGTCAGGGCTGTCTTTAGAAAAGTAAATGGGGCGAGCACTTGCATTTACGAAGCTTTCAAGCCAATATTATCAAGGCCCAGAGGAGGCTTCAAGTACCCGAACAGGCTTTAGCAGCATTAGACAGTTACCATACACAGCTACCATACTACCATGGGTTCGCCACCCTCTATACTATGCGGCCTGAGTTCCCTCTTGCTTAGGCTTGTTAGGGCGAACCATGGTAAATCAATGGGGAAGCCATAGGGAGTCGTCACCCCGATGGTTCCTCCCTTGTTTGGGCTTGTTTGAGGCTAATCATGATTAATTGCGGCGGATCTCAGGTGACGGGTAGTACAGAGGGTTTTTTGGGGGGGACCCATAGAGCTGCGTCACAATGTCTTACTTCAGGCCAACCGCAGCATTGAATTCGGGCATTTCGGTTCCCTGTTGGTGGTTTCTGGAAGCTGTCCATCTCTTGCTACTTCAGGGCTGCAAGGAATAGTTTCGTGCAACAGGGGTGTTCCAAAACTTGGGGCCTCTTTTTGGCATTGGAGGCCCCATTTTGGCAACTATGTATGGAAACTACCATGAGGGTTCATGGTGGAATTTTAGGGCTTGACTTTGTTGTGCTAGACGAACTGATGCTGGCATCTCGCTGCTAGAAGACACGGCAGCTCGCGGAAAAAAGTGCATCTTCCACAATCGGCTAGGTTGCAGATACTTTACACCATTCCTTCACACGAAAGCAATATAACCTTTCATTTCTTCTATCGCCCATCTTCAGCGTCTGGTTACTCTTGTCTGCGGAGGCAAGTGAAGCTTTTGCTGTCATGAGGGAGGGTCGTTGGGTTTGGAGTTCAACGCAGATCCAGCGTTCGCATGGTTCAGCCGCAAGGTCCATATGTCAGGTGGATATTGCAAACCTGCCTTGCTTTAATGGTTTAGGTCATGACTCTACCCCAAAACATGTAGAGCAGCCAAAACCTGGATTCAGGATTTAGGGGTTGGTTCAGGGTATAGGGTTTGGGGTTTGGAGTTTAGGTTTTGGGGTTTAGGGTTTGGGGTTTAGGGTTTAGGGTTTGAGGGGATTATGTTGGGAGTACCAGGGGCCTCGTGCAATTTCAGGTTTGGCCAGGTCATGCAGCACGTTGGAAGGGGATTAGGGGTGCCGTCTACCCCTATAACCCGTTTTGCTGCAAACCCCCATGTATGAGGTTTAGGGTCCAGCGCGGCCACAGCTACGATCATTTTAGGGTCCCTTTTGGAATACAGCGCCTCAGATTCAGGCCGCAAAACGGTTGATCACATCCCCTAAAGCCTCAACCCCAGAACTTCTAAACCCTAACAAAACCGTAAACCCAGCTTATTCCTTACAATATCTCCAATCACTTTCCTACCTTGATAAACCCTTGAAAGAATCCCTAAACCCCAGAAACCCTAAACCCTCCCGAACTCAACCCACACGGTTAAGGGTTCACGGTTTAGGGTTACGGGCTGCCCCTGGGATATTTAGTGTTTTTTCTAAGGGCTTTGATAGGAGACCCTATATACGAATATTTTCAAACCCTAAACCCAAAACCCTGCAGTTTTACGGGCCAACCCAGTAGCTCAACGTGCTACCGGCTGCTCGCAGGCTACGTCAACGGATGCCAGCTTTAGCATCAAGGCCGACCACGGTGTTGGATGCACCGGTTTAACATGTGAGCCATAGTCTGAACTCCTTAATTAAGGGGGGGTTTTAAAGGGATCATGTAATACAGGGTTTTGGGCTTAGGGTCTAAACTCTCTAAAGCGGGCTTTATAAGGGATTACATCGGGGACTGTTACTGTTGGGAAGTTGGGATTATTTGGGGTGGATAATAGGAGTTTAGGTTATGGCTCATGTGTGAAGGTGGAGTCCCGCCAAGATTGGGTACCCGACGGGATTACCACGGGTTAGCCTACTTGGGGAAGGCGAACAGGTACTAGGGGTTTGCATGATAGGTGTAGGACTCGGGCTCAGGATTTTGTAGCACCGTGTAGGATCTGTGGTGTTTGAGAGATACCCGTGCGCATGACCGATAGATCCGCTAGGGCAGTAGATGTGACAATGTCACTTAAAGAGGTAGCGGCAGTGCTAGTCTTGACAGCATTGCTGAAGCAATGAAATGAGTGCTAGGCAGACATGATCATAGCAGTAGCGGCAACAAAACATATTGCAACCCTAAACCCTACAACCCTGACACAAGATGGCTAGTGGAAAGTCTGCTCTGATAGCACGTGTATCCATCCGCGCACACAAAAGGTTATGGTGTTACTAATCCCCCTAAAGGAGACAGAAGATGGGGTACATGGGGATCTTATTTTAATACACCCAAAGCCACATTCTAGCGGGTTAATGGGGGCTACATACCCTGGGGCCCCTAATAACCCAGGAGTTTAGCCCCGCGGTCTACACTTCGGGATGGCGTGGTTCGGGGCTTATCATCAAATGCCCGCACATCACCTGAGTGGTATTTTATTTGGGGATTCTTTGGTACGCATTATAGAGTAAGATTGTATCCTCCTTCTGGGGTATAGTATTCTATATAAGGAATATAATCTTACTGGGTTTAACCACCAAAAAAAACGCTACTCACCTATAGAAGTGGGGTCTAGCTCGCACACTGTCGCAAAGCTGATGTTTCATGCATGTAAAACCAAGTTCAATGCAACCTCGGCCTTTAAAAACAATAACTACTTACTGAAGGGCTGGCAGGACAAACGGACATGTTTCTGTATAGCAGCCCCTGTACAATCCGAGATACTTGTCCCTCACTGCCTACTGACCACGAGTACGGAAAGGTTTGGGATTTGTTTTGATCAAAGTGGAGCAACCCCCTATAGAACCATACATGGGGGTTTTCCAAAATATGGGTTACCTTTGGGGGTTCCTATTATAATAAGGACTATAGTATCTTGGGGTCTATATTGAGATGCCCTTATCTAGGGAAGCTACCACATTCTGTTCAGGTCAAGAACACCGACACCAACGTCATGGCCCCGGCATTTGTCTGCTGCATCTGTCTTGGAGGTGTGCATGGAGTACAGCGTGTGAATTTTGATCTGACGAACAAAGGCTGCTTCGTCCTATACGGGGCAGTTCTACCCTAAGGGTCCAAGTACCCAATAATCAGATACTTACCCAAAACCTGTACTATCATTGTTATTACCCAGCACCCAAACACCAAGTTATTGGGTACTTGGACCCTCTGGGCTACATCATCCATGGAAGTGGCTATGCATGACCATCTGTGTGGCACCAGGGAGTTGTTGAAGACCTCAGTACCAACCGGACGCTCACGACTTCTAGGATTCTGTCCGCTCTAATAAGTTCGAAAGTTGTTGATGACAGGTTTTGCCACTGCATTCCGCAAAGTACGGGGTGGGCTTCTTCCTCGAATTCTTGCGCAAGTAGCCATTACGCTGAAGAGTGACCGGCGCTGTGCAGAGTGGGAGGAGCAGAGCAAGACCAGTACACACTCTGCAGGCGCGCAAAAACGCCCACTTCAGACGAAGAAGCGACTGGCATCGAATAATCCCTATATAGTCCCAATATAATCCCTAATAATCCCTATATAATCCCTACATAATCCCTATATAGTCCCTATATAAATGCAGTGACTTCCCAAAGTTTCTCACTGCGCACGGGCAAATGTCAAGAGCTGTGAGACGGGCATTGCCAGGACAAGCAGCACAAGGGAGATGGCGTAACTCCTACTGTTGATATTAAAAATCCTGCGTGACCTTAGTATACTATAGTACCATAATTCCCAAAGTATAGGTTACTTAGGGTCATGCAGGATTTTTGGTATCCACCGTAGTATCCCTCTTAGTAACCCCTATAATGGAGAATCAAATGGAAAAGAAAATGGAAATGACATGGAAACTGGGATTATATAGGGGATTATAGGGGTTATAGTCTCAACTCCTAGTGTCGGTCTGGCCTGCGGACCGGGCGAACAGGTTGCCCCACGACCTCATCAAGAAGGGTTGCCAGACGCGGAAGTAAGCGGAGGCTCAGCGTGAACGTCCTTTGTCATGGTCGCAGTGAGGCTACAAGTTATATATCACTTGCGGTCATGATGGGGGTAGATATGGTCATAAGTGCCCCTAACTTGTATCTTCGGGATTCATAGATCCCTAAACCCTAAATCCTTACCCCTAAGCCTTATATAGCTAGCAACTAGCCCAGCCCTGCAGCGAAGGGGTTAGCTGGAGTAAGAGGGGAACCGGCTGGCAGTCGTTTCCGTATGCTGGAAAAGTGAATAGTATTTTGTTTGGGGATACTATGGTACCCATTCTAGAGTAAGATTATATCCTCCTTTTGGGTATAGTTTTTATATAAAGAATGGATACTGAAATAATTTCCCTAATTTTTTCATAGCGACCCCATATACTAATACTTTTCAACCAAGAACATGAATCCTAGCCTTCTAGCGCGCTAACAGAATCATGGCAAAGATTCCTTGTTTTGTGAAGGATGGATTCTGGGTGTCGCATGCCCAGGTGTAAAATGTTTTCCTAGGTATCTCACATGCAGCGAAAGCCTATTTCACCGTAATTCCCCAAAAAAATCGAATCACTCAGGCTTGAAAGCCCTGCGCACCTATACATCCGCAAACAACCCGCATGAAGCCCTAAAACCCCAAACTCTCAACACTGATCGCGTAAAGCCTCCAAATCCAAGCCCTAAACCCTACACCCTGAACCCCGTGACCCTGAACCCAAATCTGAGGCGATCCTGTCCAGGAACCAGGATGGCATAGAGCTTGCGATTGATCCGGGGACATACATCGTCACGTGCGGGGGCCAAGAGCTTAGGATCTAAAAGTCTAAGGGCGTAGGCTTTAGGGATTCGTGAATAGTGTACCTGAAGGTGGGACACATGCAATGCCCCCGAGTTCGGTTATTCAGGGCTGTTCCTGCTTGTATGTTCCACCACTATTTTGCAAGGAATTTTGGGTTATTGTGGAGTTCTTGCAAGGAGAAGCCAACTGACATGACATTTTTAGTGTGCCTGCGGGAACTCAAGAATCCGATGCAATCAAAAAGCAATGAGTCTAGGGGTTAGGGTCGGTCTTTCATAAGGTAGACATCCTCCCAACCCCCCGCTAGTTTTTGCAGGAGCCAAGTAGACATGGCCCAGACACATTTTCTTCCTTCAAACTCTACCTTGAGGTAATCCCTGATCATAGTTGCGATTGGGGTAATATTGAGATGGTGGACAAAAAATCGAAGCAACAGGGATTATAAACGGGCTTATATAGGGATTATGCAAATAACGTAGGCTATCATTCTAAGCAAACCCAGTGTTTTCCACATGGGCATATGTTGGTAACTCAAATCCTCACCCTGTACTAGTGGTGTCATAGCAATATAGGTTCAGGGTTTGAGGTTGAGGGTTTATAAGAGGACCCTAGTAAAATCACCATTACCCTTCATAGTCCCCAGTCCCTATTACAAGGAGGGGGTGGTCCACCTAAGGGAGATCCTAAACCATAGACTCTAAACCCTAAACCCTAAATCCTTAACCCCAAGCCCTTAACCCTAAAGCCTAAACCCCAAACGGTAGATTCTAAACCTGCGAGGCTGTCCATGCGCTCCAACAATGGCAAACCGCTGGCTGCTTGCTGTTGGGCTGCACCAAGGAGGGTTATATAAGGGTTTAGGGATTAGGGTTTATATAGTGGTTTTGTAGCCAGCGTTAATGGTTTTGGGTTTGTATAGGGTTTTCTGAAATTAGCGTCGCGTTTTGGCACACCTAAAAGTAGGTGCCGTGCGATAATTCTTGACCAAAGCCCACAGTTTTTAGAATGACCCATAGAGTTTGCGGTTTATATGACCTACTGTCAGCACTACGCTTATCAAGTGACCATTGAGGATGGACATAGGGATCCCTGGGAGTTCCTGAAGCATTCCATGTCAGTTAAATAATATTAGGAAATATTGATGCAGCTCACATAGCCCTAAGGGTCCAAGTACCCAATAATCATATACTTACCCAAAACCTGTATTACAATTACTATTACCAAAACCCTAAGTACCCGATTATTGGGTACATGGACCCTTAGGGTAGGCTTTGGAGTGTGTAGGTTTTCAAGACGTTCCAAAGAAGACCTAGGGTCTTCATACGCACCCAAGAGAGCCCGAAAGCCGTCAGATGCTGCCAACAGTGATTTTCAAAGTCTTCTGCAGCGCAGCCCAGGTTCCACGTTCTCGTTGAACCTGATGCTGATCCAGCTTTCTGGCTGCAATTACGCAGGAAAAGGTCGCTTTGGGTAGCAGCACTTTGATTATTCAACTGTGGGTACGATAGTGCGCAATATAGAGTGAGATGACATCCTCCTTCGGAGCATAGTCACTTTTGCTATAAGAGTAGAACCTTACTTGGATTCCCTAAACCCTAAACCCCAATCATCTATGGCAAAACAAATTTGGAGACCAACCCCTGTGGATTCGGAACTTACAACTACAATATGACTTAGGTTGACCCCCACCGTGTAACAGTGACTATAAGGCTATAAGGGATAATAAGGATCATATTAGGGCCCTGGTGTATTTGAACTTTAATATCACTTTTACAGGGTGGGGGGTTCTCCTAAAATATGATTTGGTGTAGAGTTTAAGGTTTAGGGCAACATGGCCATCATGATAGGGTCCTTTTTTGGGGGGGGCTTGAGTTAGCAACTCCTCCTAGTCATCCACGTGTGTAAGAGTTCCAGCTTCGTTGTGCAGTTCTTAAGTGCGGTTTCCGGAAGCATCGTTGCGAACTGCAGTTCAGATTTTTTCGTGCCTGCAAGCTTGGAAACAGCAAAACAGTCATAGGGCAGAGGTTTTTTAGGGACATTCCCCGCCAAGCCGACCACAAACATTAGAGACCAATAAGGTTCAATCGGGAATTTAGGGAGAAGAAGGTTCCTTGGGGCTTACTATCGGTTAGTTGGCCCTTTCAATCTGGTGGGGTTCAGCAGGAACCTTAGCATCCTATGAAGCGCGAAGTGCAGTTTAGGGTTCAGGGAAAGTTTTCAAGGGAGCTAACTCACAAATTGCATACGAATGGTACAATGACAGGACTTGACCCTAAACCCTAAAACCCTAAAATCCTAAACCCTAAATTCCTAAACCCTACAACCCTAAACCCTCAAAGCACTCTGCAAGAGTCAGGTGAGCGTCACGGCGCCCTCATGTCCGTTGCTGCAATAGTCGAAATGGACATTTCTCAAAATGGTCCCTACGTGAGCTATCGTCTAAACTCCTTAAAGGGGGTTATATAGGGGATTATATAAGGGGCTACTATAAGGGTTATTAAGGGGGATACTAGGAGTTTAGATTGTAGTTCATGTAATCCCTGATAAGGACCCCCAGAATCCTCCTACAAACCCTATATATACATATATATATATATATATCCTTTCTGGCGTCCCGTGGGCTCCCTGATTTTGTGTTTCCAAAATCCCCAAAGCTTACTGAACCCTAAACCCTAAACCCTAAACCCCTATTAGCAGGCTTTAAAGAGCCCATAACAGTATTACTCAAGTCTTTTGAGTCTGCACAGCTGAGGCGGAAGCTGCTGTCATGCCCTGAGGATTCTAAATTCGGGTCCAGGGTTCAGGGTTCAGGGTTTGGG